ATTTCAATAAGAAAAAGATAAATTTTTCTATAAAAAAAGAATATTTCGAAGATTTTCTATGAGACAAAAAAGAAAACTTGGCAGATTTCCATAACACGAGACATTTTTCCATAAGGAGAACTTTTTTTTAGATTTTTGAAAAATTTTGAAAATTTTCTTTAAAAAAATGAGAACATTTTGAAAATCTTCTTTAAAAAAAGAGAAAATTTCGAAAGTTTTCTAAAAAAAATAGAAAAAGTTTTCTATTAAATAAGAAAATTTCAAAGATTTACTATTTAAAAAGGAAATTTCAAAGATTTTCTATAATAAAAAGAGAAAACTTTGCAGATTTCTAACAAAACAGGCATTTTTCCATAAAGTGAACATTTTTTAAGTTCTCTATAATAAAAAATAAATTCATTTATAAAGATTTTTTCAATAAATTTTCGAAGATCTTCTATAAAAAAGTAAATTGTCTAAAAAAAGAGAAGTTCTCTATAAGAAGAAACTCGAAAGGAAATTTTTTAAAAATTTTCTTTAAACATAATTGTTTAACATTTCCAACTGGTCTATTTTATAGTAAATTTGTTTCGTTTTTAATACCCATAATGAGATTTTTTCAACTTTCTTTTATATTGATATTTAAGTTTCTTGGCTGTTTCCGTTTTCCTTTTGTTCAATTTTTATACTATTTTTTAATCAATTGCGTTTTCTTTCTGTTTCAATGATTTAACTACAACAATGTATATACAACATAGATATACATATATTTTTAAGCTGTAAAAACAATTCATTGCAAAAGCTGTGAAGAGAAAAAAAAAGTCAATTGTCTTAAGACAATAACAATCTCATTTTATTTTCAATCATTATTTTTTTTTTAGTTGCGAAACATTAAAGAAATTCTTAACATGTTTTTTATAGTTTTTTTTTTTTTTTTTTGTTACAACAGAAAAGAAATATGTTCAGTATCATGAACATGAAAATAATCATTATCAGCATTGATTTGTCCCTTTTTTTTGCGGAGCTCTTTGTTTTTGTTAGACCAATATTATTTTTATATGTACGAAAAGGAATAATACACTCACTCTCTATTTTTTCTCTATCTCTCTTTGAAGGTTTTTATCTATACAAATGTATATAAACATATGTATGTGTGTCTATATGTATGTATATGTGTATGTCCTTTTCTTGTTTTAAGGATTTTTATTTTTTTTTTGTTTTAAGGTTTTAATTAAGTAGTTTTCTTTGATTTTTTGTTTAGAAGAGAATGTTTAAAATAGAGTTTGAGTAATATTTTGTTTTAATTAATTTGTTGGAAATGAAATTTTATCAAAGGACACTAAAGTGAAAAAAAAAAATATTATTTTCTGTAATTTTAAACATTATTTTAAATTTAAGACAAAAACTTTTTGAAAGAAAGGCAATTAGTTTGCACATGTATAATAATAAAATGTTTTTAATTATTGTTTTCTTTTTCTAATAATAAGTTTTCTTTTTTTTTGTTTAGCATTCTTTTTAAATACCAAAAATTCTTTTTCATATTTCTTCAGCTATAATTTGCAAGACAATATTATTTAATGGACAGAAAAACAAAGTTTCTTACCAAAAAAAAAAAAAAAAAAAACAACATTCAACTTGACATTTGGTTTTGGGTATTATTTTATCCTTTTTCTTAAGAAAATAATTTCCATTAAAATTCTTGTATTTTTCCAGCATTAGTATGAAATTTGATTTTTATGTTATTTTCTAATGTTTCCTCCATCTCATCAAATCTCAATAACAAAAATACAATAATATAAAATATAAACTCATTGAAATTCAAAACTGTTTTAAATTAAATTTTCATTCCAATCGGTCGTCTTCTCTATAACAATAAAAATTAAAGTACATAACAATACAATTTGGTAACCGAAAAGAAAATATATGTTTGAGAGTACTTTTTTTCTTGTTTAATTTTTCATAGATAATGACAAACAAAGTGCATTCGCAAATTATTAAGAAACGTGAGCTCAGTAGAGTGTAGAAATAACTAAAGGAAAATTTTGTATAAAAAGATAGAAAGTGTCGAATTTGTAAAGCTGTATAAAAACAGACATTTTTGAATATAATCTTTAAATTCAGCAAATGTTCGGGAATTAAAATTATAAATTTTCCGAAAATATTCCTATAAAAAGAGATTTTCGCCAAATTCTAATATATAAAGAGAAACCTTCTCTAAAATTATCTATAAAAGGAGAATATTCTCGAAAATTTTCTATAAAAAAAGAATCTTTTGTAAAAAGAGAATTTTCTCGAAAATTTGAATCTTTAAATTCAGCAAATGTTCGGGAATTAAAATGATAAATTTTCCGAAAATATTCCTATAAAAAGAGAAATTTTTGCCAAATTCTAATATATAAAGAGAAACCTTCTCTAAATTATCTATAAAAGGAGAATATTCTCGAAAATTTTCTATAAAAAAGAGAATTTTCTCGAAAATTTTCTATAAAAAAGAGAATTTTCTCGAAAATTTTCTATAAAAAAGAGAATTTTCTCGAAAATTTTCTATAAAAAAGAGAATTTTCTCGAAAATTTTCTATAAAAAAGAGAATTTTCTCGAAAATTTTCTATAAAAAAGAGAATTTTCTCGAAAATTTTCTATAAAAAAGAGAATTTTCTCGAAAATTTTCTATAAAAAAGAGAATTTTCTCGAAAATTTTCTATAAAAAAGAGACTTTTCTCGAATTTTCTATAAAAAAGAGAATTTTCTCGAATTTTCTATAAAAAAGAGAATTTTCTCGAATTTTCTATAAAAAAAAGAATTTTCTCGAAAATTTTCTATAAAAAAAAGAATTTTCTCGAAAATTTTCTATAAAAAAAGAGAATTTTCTCGAAAATTTTCTATAAAAAAGAGAATTTTCTCGAAAATTTTCTATAAAAAAGAGAATTTTCTCGAAAATTTTCTATAAAAAAGAGAATTTTCTCGAAAATTTTCTATAAAAAGAGAATTTTCTCGAAAATTTTCTATAAAAAGAGAATTTTCTCGAAAATTTTCTATAAAAAGAGAATTTTCTCGAAAATTTTCTATAAAAAGAGAATTTTCTCGAAAATTTTCTATAAAAAGAGAATTTTCTCGAAATATTTCTATAAAAAGAAAATTTTCTCGTAAATTTTCTATAAAAAGAAAATTTTCTATAAAAAGAGAATTTTCTATAAAAAGAAAATTTTCTCGAAAATTTTCTATAAAAAGAGAATTTTCTGTAAAAAGAGAATTTTCTCGAAATTTTTCTATAAAAAGAGAATTTTCTAGAAATTTTTTTTCTAAAATCGTGGTAAAAAGAGAATTTTTCTAAAAAAAATTCTATAAAAATATAATTTCCTCGTTATATTTTCTGTAAAAAAAGAGAATTTTCTTGAAAATTTTCTATAAGAAGAGAATTTTCTCGAAAAGCATTTTCTATAAAATGGAGAATTTTCTCGATCATTTTCTATAAAATGAGGTTTTTTTTAAAGTTTTCTATAAAAAGAGAATTTTATCAAAATTTTCTATAAAAAGAGAATTTTCTAGAGAAAATTTATGTAAACATTTTTTATTTTCTATATTATGAGCTTTTCTATTAAAATAGATATATCTCGTAGTAGTGCCATAGAGATATAATTTTCTTGAAAATCATCGTAAAAACAGAATTTCCAAAAAATTTTCTATAAAAATAAATTTTCTCGGAAATGTTTTATAAAAAGGGAAATTTTCGAGCTTTAGAATGATCTATTACCTTTAGGAAATATCGTGCTTTAAAGCTACACATTGCCATTCCTTGATGAAATATTGAGCTTTAAAGATATTTCTTTCTTTTAGAAAAGTTTAAGCTGTAAAGCTATTTCTTTCCTTTAGAAAAGTTTATGCTTTAAAGCTGTTTCTTTCCTTTAGGAAAGTTTAAGCTTTAAAGCTATTCCTTTCCATTAGGAAAGTTTGAGCTTTAAAGATATTCCTTTCCATTGGGAAAGTTTGAGCTTTAAAGTTATTCCCTTTCTAAAAAATTTTCTATAAAAAGAAATTTTCTTAGAAATGTATTATAAAAAGGGAAATTTTCGAGCTTTAAAATGATCCATTTCTTGATGAAATATTGAGCTTTAAAGATATTCCTTTCTTTTAGAAAAGTTTAAGCTGTAAAGCTATTTCTTTCCTTTAGGAAAGTTTAAGCTATAAAGCTATTCCTTTCCTTTAGGAAAGTTTGAGCTTTAAAGCTATTTCTTTCCTTTAGGAAAGTTTGAGCTTTAAGCTATGCCTTTTCTTTAGGAAAGTTTGAGCTTTAAAGCTATTCCTTTCCTTTAGGAAGGTATGAGCTTTAAAATGATGTAGTTTTATAAGGAAAAGTTAACATTTTATTTTAAATAAGTATAAGCTTAAAAGCATATAACTTTCATTATGAATATTTAAGCTTAAAAGTGTTTAGGAAATGTAAAGTTTTAAAAAGAGAAATTCTCTTTGAGTTTGGAAAATCTTATTTTATTGAAAATGTTTCTTAAGAAAATCAATTTTTTAAGTATAAAGCTTGACAATGGTGCCAACAATATGTATAATCTTAAATAAAGTCTCCAACATATTGCACAACTTTACAATTTAGTTACTCCAAGAAAAACCATTCAACAATCTTGCACAGAAGTCCTCTAGAGGCAGACAAAGAAAAAACCAATTGTATCCATACAAGAATAAGACAAATTATATAAAATCATTTACGAGCACAAAAGAATAAATGAAAATAATACTATATTATCGTTCGTATATAATAAAATTGAGTGCAGAAAATAAGAAGAATAAAAAGAAAACATAAAGAAACAAATAAATTGATAGCAGAAATTCAGCGACAAACTCCATCACAATTGGCAAAAAAACTTAATAAATAAAATAGAGTGCAATAGTGAAGAAAAAACATTAACAATGTGAGCTATAAACTGAAAAGTATAGAAATTAAAATAAGAAAATAATAGAAAGTAGTAGTGAAGTGAAAAAAACATGAAGTAGTGAAGGAAAAAATCTTTACCCGAACTGCCATCTGGCCGATCTCTTAAATCTTGAAGTTCACGCAAAGCTTTGAGTTCATCTAAAGTGTTTTTTTATATATATTTTATTTTACAAATTATGTTAAGGAGTTTTTTTTTGGGGGTGTAAGTGAGGGAAACATAAAAAATGAATGGTTAGTTATAAATATTTTACAGACAAATAGAAGGATTAATTATTTTACATAAAACTTCATATAATATTAGCCAGTTAATGGTTGTTTAATAACAAAATACTTCTAAATGAATATTTTAATTTAAAACCAAATCTCTTATAAATCAATACATACCTGGTCTTCCATAGTAGGAGGCATCACCATAATAACCATTACGACTTTCCATGCCAGGTTCTCCCTTTGGTCCTGATATTGTTAGGCCGGGCATACCTGGTGGACCGGGTGGTCCAGGTGGGCCTGGTGGTCCTGGCATAGGAACATATTGTACACCTTCTCCTGCTGCTGCTGGTAAACCAGGTGGTCCCGGCATACCATCACGACCATCTTGTCCTCTATCACCCTTATCGCCTTTGGGCTTTAGTTGAGAGTTTGAGAAAAAAACGTTATTTAACTAAAGTTTACATTTTTTCGAAAAAAAGCTATCAAAGTTATTAAAGTCATTTAAATAAATATTAAAAAACAAGTAATAAGACTATTTTAAACAAATACTTTAGGGATTTAGATTAGACGAAAATATATGTTTCAGTTTCAGCTAAAAGTTAAAAAAAACTTGTAAGTCGTTTTGTGTTTTAACCATGTTTTCGAATTATTAAATAATTGCTTGGTTAATTCCCCAAGCGTCAATAGTCTCAACCAAAGTGCTACAATTTGTTTACATGTATGCGATGTCTGTTTGTATGTTTGTTTGTATGTATATTATTGTCAATTAGTCGCAAACAACAAGCCATAACGTTTTTACAGTGGATACCAGAGAAGATAAAAACATTAATAGATACATTTAAGTATTTGCTCTGGAGATTTAGAAACATTCCAGAGTGGAAATGGTAAATGTATCTTTATAGTACATTGTATAATTTTGACCCTTATAGGTAATAAAGCTTGTACAAATACAATTAAACAAATAAAATTTTGAGCTTTAAAGTAAACCATTTCATGTTTAGGTAAGTTTCTTCCTTAAGTTTTGAGCTTTGTAAGGATCAGTTTCATGTAATTAATGCGATCAGTTGCCTTTATTTGAAGCTTAAAAGCCATCGAATTCCTTTAGAAAATTTAGAGCTTTGAAGAGATTAAGCGATACATTTTCTTTAGAATATTTTAAGCTTAAATTACATTAATTTCCTATATAAGCTTTGTAAGGATCAGTTTCATTTAATTAATGCGATCAGTTGCCTTTATTTGAAGCTTAAAAGCCATCGAATTCCTTTAGGAAATTTAGAGCTTTAAAGAGATTAAGCGAAACATTTCCTTTAGAACATTTTAAGCTTAAATGCAAACCATTTCCTATATGAGATTTTAAGCTTTCAAGCGATAAATTTACCTTTAGCTTTAAAGCAATCCATTGCCTTTAGGAAACTTTGAGTTTTAAAGCGATCTGTTTTCTTTAGAAAATTTTGAGCTTTAAAGCGATCTGTTTTCTTTAGAAAATTTTGAGCTTTAAAGCGATCTGTTTTCTTTAGAAAATTTTGAGCTTTAAAGCGATCTGTTTTCTTTAGAAAATTTTGAGCTTTAAAGCGATCTGTTTTCTTTAGAAAATTTTGAGCTTTAAAGCGATCTGTTTTCTTTAGAAAATTTTGAGCTTTAAAGCGATCTGTTTTCTTTAGAAAATTTTGAGCTTTAAAGCGATCTGTTTTCTTTAGAAAATTTTGAGCTTTAAAGCGATCTGTTTTCTTTAGAAAATTTTGAGCTTTAAAGCGATCTGTTTTCTTTAGAAAATTTTGAGCTTTAAAGCGATCTGTTTTCTTTAGAAAATTTTGAGCTTTAAAGCGATCTGTTTTCTTTAGAAAATTTTGAGCTTTAAAGCGATCTGTTTTCTTTAGAAAATTTTGAGCTTTAAAGCGATCTATTTCCTTTAGAAAATTTTGAGCTTTAAAGCGATCTGTTTTCTTCAGGAAACTGTGAGCTTTAAAGCGATTCATCTCCTTTTGGGAAATTTTGAGCTTAAAAGTAATCCATCGACTTTGTTGTGCTTTAAAGCTATCCATTTTGGATTTTTAACTTTAAAGCGATCCATTTGCTTTTAGAAATTTTGAGCTTTAAAGCTATATATTAGCTTTTAGAAATTTTGAACTTTAAAGCGATTCATTTCCCTTCGGAAATTTTGCGCTTTAAACTGATCCGTTTCTTTTAGGAAATATTTAGCTTAATTTCCTTTAGGATCGCTTTAAAGAGATCCATTTGCTTTAGACATTTTAAGCTTTAAAGCGATTAATTTCCTTTAGATCATTTTGAGCTTTAAAGCGGTGCATTTCCTTTTCTTTTAATGTGAGTAATTTCTTCCATAAAATATATACTGGAAAACGATCCATTTCTTAAAGAAATTCTAAGCTAAAAACCGATTCATTTCCATTAAAAGATTTTGAGCTTTAAAGCGATATACTTCCAATGGAGAATTTAAAACCATTTTTTAGCTAATTCAAAGCTTAAAGCTAGCATTTTCCTTTCGTAAGTTTTAAGGCTTAAAGCAAATTTACCGTTATGAAATTTTCAGGTTTACTGTGGTCCATTTATTTTAAGTTATTTTGAGCTTTAATGTTCAAATTTTTAAGCTTTAACCCATTTCTCTCTACTGTTACTCACTGTCACAAACAAACTGTGCAAATCAAGACGTTAATAATGAAAATAACTGCGACAACACGAAACTTAAAACACTGACGGCTGTAATGACGCAATAACGATCATCAGGTATAATGAAAACAAGTACAGAAAGTTGTTGTTTATGAACAACAACTTTCTGTACAAAACTCCTGCGCTAATTTAAAAATATCTGAGGTTAAGTAGAGAGAACTCTTTTATTTCTAAAATTTGTAGAAACTCAAACAAACAACACAAATATAACTTGTTACGTCACAAATTGCTACGAGGACACAAGCAAACACTTACAGATACTTTTAAACACAAACATACATATGTATGTATATTTCCACAAATATGTATATAAATATTTGTCACAACAGTATTTGTGTTCCGCTTAATAAATATATATGTATGTATTTACGTTGCAGAAGTAGCTCGCACAAGAAAACAAATAAACAAGCAAATCAACGACCAAAAACGTAACAATGTTTAGACGAAATAACGACAAACGGGAAGCATAAACAGACGACTTATTAGTAACTTGGTTAGATTTGAACTCTAAAGCAACTGAAGAGTTCCCAAGAAGGAGTTGGTGTGGGTTTTACTGGTAAATTGTTGCTGTTAAAATTGTTGTTATCAACAAAACACCGGAGACACTAAACAATTCGTTTGGGGAATAGAAAATGTCATAATAACCAACCATGTTTAACGAAACATGTCCAAGACTACTACGAAAGGAATCAAGCGGGAAATAGTACATACATACATACACTCAAACTCATACAGTTGTTTCAATTATAGGAAAACAGTTGTTTTCTCTGCGAAGAAGGGGAAGTATGAGAAATTGTAAAAGTGGAAGTGTAAGTGTAAGTGGAGTGGACAAAATTAGAAAAATTTAAGGAAAGTTAGAATATATGTAAGTGAGGGGATGATCTGGAGCAGAAAAATACAAAACAACTCCCTTAAAAGTTCTCAAATGTATGAAAAATAAATAAAACAGATCACATTAGTCAACCGATGACTAAACTGGGGCAATAACTTTCATAAATTTATCTATTACAAAATTTAATCTTTAAACAAGAGCGAAATCGCTTAAACACGGAAAATGTTTATTCTTGACATTGGGTTACCTTCCCATATTTATTGGCCTTTGCAACATTATTACTAAGTCCTCTTGGCAGTGGAGTCATAATCATAAAAATTTATTAAAATTTAGTTGTTGCTTTAGTTTCTCAACTTGTCTAAATGTTTATGTTTGTACTGATGTGGCTTGGTTTCTATTGACCATCACTACATAGTAGGTTGGACTCGTTTCACTGAAGAATAATAAGATAGTGATGTTCCCACCAAAGGTGAAAGCTAGATACATTCTAAGATATCATTTCGTAAGATTTTTTTCTTGAGGACAATATTAGATAGAAAGTTCTTTTTTAAGGTTTTTCCAATAATGTCAATTTGACGTCTTTGGCGAAAAATCTGAAGTTTTTGTAACGCCAATCTTACGTTTATGAAATTTGTTTTTGCGGTTAGCGGTAAATTTGGATATTTGAGATTTCTTGCGTTTCTAGTCTATAGTCTAGTCTATAGTCTAGTCTATAGTCTAGTCTATAGTCTAGTCTATAGTCTAGTCTATAGTCTAGTCTATAGTCTAGTCTATAGTCTAGTCTATAGTCTAGTCTATAGTCTAGTCTATAGTCTAGTCTATAGTCTAGTCTATAGTCTAGTCTATAGTCTAGTCTATAGTCTAGTCTATAGTCTAGTCTATAGTCTAGTCTATAGTCTAGTCTATAGTCTAGTCTATAGTCTAGTCTATAGTCAAGTCTATAGTCTAGTCTATAGTCTAGTCTATAGTCTAGTCTATAGTCTAGTCTATAGTCTAGTCTATAGTCTAGTCTATAGTCTAGTCTATAGTCTAGTCTATAGTCTAGTCTATAGTCTAGTCTATAGTCTAGTCTATAGTCTAGTCTATAGTCTAGTCTATAGTCTAGTCTATAGTCTAGTCTATAGTCTAGTCTATAGTCTAGTCTATAGTATAGTGTAGTCTATAGTCTAGTCTATAGTCTAGTCTATAGTCTAGTCTATAGTCTAGTCTATAGTCTAGTCTATAGTCTAGTCTATAGTCTAGTCTATAGTCTAGTCTATAGTCTAGTCTATAGTCTAGTCTATAGTCTAGTCTATAGTCTAGTCTATAGTCTAGTCTATTCTAGTCTATAGTCTAGTCTATAGTCTAGTCTATAGTCTAGTCTATAGTCTAGTCTATAGTCTAGTCTATAGTCTAGTCTATAGTCTAGTCTATAGTCTAGTCTATAGTCTAGTCTATAGTCTAGTCTATAGTCTAGTCTATAGTCTAGTCTATAGTCTAGTCTATAGTCTAGTCTATAGTCTAGTCTATAGTCTAGTCTATAGTCTAGTCTATAGTCTAGTCTATAGTCTAGTCTATAGTCTAGTCTATAGTCTAGTCTATAGTCTAGTCTATAGTCTAGTCTATAGTCTAGTCTATAGTCTAGTCTATAGTCTAGTCTATAGTCTAGTCTATACTCTAGTATATAGTATAGTCTATAGTCTAGTCTATAGTCTAGTCTATAGTCTAGTCTATAGTCTAGTCTATAGTCTAGTCTATAGTCTAGTCTATAGTCTAGTCTATAGTCTAGTCTATAGTCTAGTCTATAGTCTAGTCCAGTATAGTCTAGTCTATAGTCTAGTCTATAGTCTAGTCTATAGTCTAGTCTATAGTCTAGTCCTATAGTCTAGTCTATAGTCTAGTCTATAGTCTAGTCTATA